CATCCTCAGTCCTTTTAGATGGGATTATTGTAGATACTGGCATTGCTGCAGAAGTGTGTGGCATCACATCTGTAACGGGGTTTGGCATTGAAGATCTGGCTGCTCATCAGCACCCGAACTCTGAAGCAGTTTTTCAGTAAAGTGGGGTTTAATTCATTTGAATTACCATCAAAGTCTCTACTGACCCGTTTTACCTCACCCAGTGATTTGGGATAATTGGACCTTTTGAATGACACATATGCTTGACATGCATTGAGGAAAGTCATTTGAGTTTAGTGCTCAGCTTTTATTGTTTCTCTGTTATATGCTGTTAGTCTCTGTTGGCGCCTTAACACAGGGGAGGTCAGAAATCCACTAACAGAAGAGCCTCCGTGAAGCGTTTCTTACGGCCTGCTTTTCAGACAAGAGGGTTTATAATTCTGTATTTCATTTAGCTTCAGTCTCACAAGCTCCAAGCAATTACTGACTGAACGGGACGTCTTTCAGACCACTGAGAGCCTTTATGGAAACATGGCATCGCTGTGCTCTGTTGTGTATAGAGTGCAGCTTCTTACGAGCTGTGCCCATCTGTTTTTCTGCCATATTCAAACACAGATGTCACAGTGACCCACCAACATCTGGACTCTGTCTCCAAATACATTAGAAATGGTAACCTTTAGTCCTGCTGTGTCGTTTTTAAATAAGGCATGTTAAATAAACACGTTCTGGCCGCTTTATTAGGTATACCTTGCTTGTACATTTGCCTGCTCATAATTCCTTTTGGCACTTGTTTAAATAGCGAGTTCACTTACAAATAGGGATGGGTACCTTTGACATTTGAATTGATCCGGTTCTAATTCCCGGTACCTACGAATCAATACCGGTACTTAATGGTACCAATTTTCGATACTTTTGAGTGTTTATTAGTTTAATTCTCTTTTATAATTAAATATATTTTTCTCAATATGTAACAATATTTGATAGATATCACAATAAATAACATTCAACTGTTTGTATTTTAACATCGTCCTTGTAGTTTTATAAGCTTATAATTAAACTGAAGCAAACATCTTTACTGTGAACTAAATTTACTGTGTATCTTCATTCCTTTTGCCGTCTTTTTTCATTTGATTTTTCCTACTGGGAAGTTAGAATTTCCGAGGAAAAAGCGAATGCACCATTAGCTGATAACAACGGTGGCAATGGAAGCTAAGATATCAAGCTAACGTTATCTTAAACAGTTTATTTAACTGCTGGAGCAGATTAAAACGATGATGCCTCACACTTAGATCGATGTCAATGGTTTCATCTTCACCCAATCACCCGTCACATTTAGTAAAGTGAAGCCAAACTTTAGAGCGCGTTCATGTTCTATTCGGAAATTCGGAGTTCCGAGGAGAAAGCGAACGCACCATTAGGGAAACGGAAGCTAACATATCAAGGTAACGTTATCTTAAACATTTTGTTTACCTACCGGAGCAGATTAAGACGAGGATGTCTCACTTAGATCGTTGTCTGTCGCTGGTTTCATCATCACCCAGTTACCCATCATTGGACCCAAGCTTTAGCGTTTGTTCTTTCTACCGTGCTGCTCTGTTTACAACTCGCTCGCAGGGACCGACGACATAACGCTCTTGCGCATGCGCAGCTGTCTTGGCAAGTTCTCATTATGAAGGACGGGTACCGAAACGAGGCATCGTTTGAAACGACGTGAATCGGTGCTCGGTCGGTCCTATGGAATTCGGTCGGTACCTAAAGTACCAAATTCGGTACCCATCCCTACTTACAAACCATTTTTTACCTGTTCGTTTTGAAATACGATCCAACTCTCTGAGTCGCACATGGAAGCTACACGTGAAAATAGTCTACTACCCCTATCTCCTACTTTAGCGGCTGAGAATAAAGAGCCAGTGAAAGAAACAATTCAGAAAAATAATATAAAGATCTAGGTCACACTGTAAATTAGCATTCAAGGACTTGAGATAGGGAAGGCTGATTTTTACAGCCTGGCGAGAGCAGAGTGTGTCTCAGCTAGTAGAAGCTAACTGTTAGCATTAGCAACTCCACAACACGGCAGAACTAAGGCTTGAGTTATTTTTAGGATAAAACATCACGATGCAGAGCGAATGGAGGCAGTGGAAGAGTCACTCTGCTGCCAGCGAGATGTCTAAAGCATGATGACTCTCAGTTCTGCCGTTTTCTGCTCCTCTCTCCTCCGGCTAACATTTACTTCCTGAAACAACGCCAGAGCGTTTTTTCCACATAGAATGACTCACAAGGCATTTGTTTATACTAGAGACCATAACTGATGTATTTTGAAAATGAGATCTAAGATGATGGAATAATTTATCACAGATTTGGGTCTATATGACATGGTAACATCAAACAGTTAGATCTATGATGAAAGTCACCCGTTCCACAACATCCCAAAGGTTCTGGACTGGACTAAGATGTGGTGGCTGTTGGAGTCCAGTGGACTGATGGTTGTGTTCTAGAAACCAGTTAGAGATGAGCTCAGCTTTGTGACATGGTGCATTATCCTGCCTGAGGAAGCTATCAGAAGATGGGTCCACTAAGGTCTAAAGAGATGGACATGGTCAGCAACAATGCTTACGTAGGCTAAGTTGGTATGAAGGGTCTAAAAGGAGCAAAGAAAAAAACATATTTTACCAACAGAAAATTACAGATGAATTAATGACTCATCAGACCATGCAACAATTTTGTTTGAAACTTATTTTGTAGCTCAGTTTTACTTCATCAGTTTGTCCTCACCATAACTAGATGTCTGCAGACGTGTAACCATATGACTGGCTGATTATTTACGTGTACTCGTTCATCTCCCTTCTACTGTAAATATTATTACTGTAGACTAATTATTTCTTCTTTTTCACTTTGAGTTGTTGCCGTCTCCCTTGTCAACACTGACCTTTTAAGGAAAATCTATTAATATGCAATCATGCTAATGAAGCTTGTGTGTGTAAAGTGAGGATGTATGTGAGTGTGTCACAGATGACGGATAAGGCAGCTGCTGTTACTGGCTTGAGAGAGGGCATCTGTTCCACCATCTGACAGCCAGAGAAAGAAAAATATGTGTTATAGAGTGCAGCCATGACTATACCCTTACTGTTGTCATTAGATTGTTCAGTAATGTGCATAAATGTATGTGAACACGTGGTGTTATTCAGCATGTGTGAGCTAGAAACCTGCAGATCTTCTGCAAAGGCAACATAAAGGCTTAACATGAAAATTGTTTTCTGCTCTTAACCCTAATCCCTAACCCTAACTCTAATCCTATTTCCTTCATTAGCCGCCAAAAGAAAGTAGATGGGGAAAGGATAGGGTAGGAAAAACATCACACATGTAAATTTGCATTCATGGACTCACCCACCTTGAATGGGCAAGGCTGGGTTAATTTAGCATCCAGGAGGGTGTGGCGCTTGGCTAGTAGAAGCTAACCGTTACCATTAGCAACTCCACAATATGGCAGAACTCCTTCAGGCTTGTTTTATTTGTTTATTTATTCATTCTTTATTTAACCAGAATGGTCTCATTGAGAGTAAAAACTTCTTTTTCATGGGAGTCCTGGCCAAGAGGCAGCAAAAGTTAGTTACAAAATATTTTAGTTACACTGACATGTTATGTACAAAATTACTGAAGGCAGTTACAACACAGGGAAGCCGTCTCAAGAGCTCTCAGTCTGGTTTTAAATGTATTCAAGGAGATGAGCTCGGTTAATTTCCAGTTTTCCTGCAGCCTGTAGCAGAAGGAGCAGCGAAAAGTCCTTTTTCTCAGTTTGGTGCTAGATAAGCAAGTAACAACTGATCGTTTGCACGTAGACCGTGAGAAGTTACACTTCTCTGTGAGATTAGGTTACGTATGTAGGAGATGAAACGTCAACGTCAAACGAAAACAGTGGAAGAGTTGTGTTGCTGTTAGCCAATCAGAGGCAAGATTTTTGAATTTCATGAATATTAATGAGTAAGACTCCAAATCCTGCTTTTTCTGCCCCCTTTTCTCCAGCTGAATCTTAATTCCTGAAACAGGAGCTTGTTTCTTTTTTCCACAGTGAACGACTCACAAGGCATTCCTTTTTACTAGAGACCACTGTAGATTTATTGAAAAAATGAGTAAAAAAAAGATCTTTAGTGACTAAAAACACACAAAAGCACTGACAAGGTTGTCTTTTTTTCCCTTTAACAACGTTTTTACTCCTCCAGTGCCATGCTTTTTCTCATTGTTGGCTTTCTTTTAGTTACATGAAGAATTATTTTATGGCAAAAACCAAAAATAAAAAAAACTCCATGTCAGAGTTGCTCAAACAGTGTTTACGCAGAGGACCAAGGTAGAGCCAGAGCTGCAGAGAGACTTCTGACTGGCGTTACTCTGAGTGGACTGCACAGGAATAAATTATAATATATTAGATTTGTAGTTATTTCTCACTTTCACCTCTTGATTGGCCAGAATAACTGACTCTGCTGCTCTGTCTTGTGTGTCCTTGCGGTCAGGCTGCTATTTTTTCTGCTAATTGTTTTTCATTAGAGGATGAACCTGCGGCGTAAGAGTGAGTGAAAAATGTCATTTGCAGAGATCTCTCACTCACTGTGTCAAGGTTGACAGCTTCAGGCTACGCAGAGTTTACAGTCAGCACCAAAACTCGTTCAGTTAATAAATATTACTATATGTTGAATTCTTATAGTATAAAGGTCCAACGTATATTACTGATACATCAAATAGCTCATGAAAAGTGTAAAATGTTAGAATGCACTTTTTATTATTCAAAATAAGCGTATTTATAGTAGAAAAAATAAACATTATGCATATTATAACTCATTATAGTATTATTTTTGAAGCTATGTCACAAACACAGCAGTCAAGTGTTGTTAAATTACATTATTAATTCAACTTATATAGATTTTAGACAGAAATTTTAGAAACATTATTTTTTAGATAAAAATCCTAATGCAAGTTTAAAACAGGAATAAATTGGAGTAATGACAACAAATGGTTTATTTGTTGCGTAGGTGTGCTCTGGAACCTGTCGTCGTGTGATGCACTGAAAATGCCGATCATCCAGGACGCCCTGGCAGTTCTGACCAACAGTGTCATCATCCCCCACTCTAACTGGGACTCATCCCCCAGCCACCATAATGACCGCAAGCTCCACCTACATACCTCCCAGGTGCTGCGCAACGCTACAGGCTGTCTCAGGTAAAAAAAATAGATTTTTTTTTAATGTTGTGAGAGAAGGCTGATTTGATGGGAGGAAACTGTTCTTTGCTATGTGATTTACCAGCAGCTGTCCGATTAAGTAGTTTTGAAGGATTTTCTAGTAGAATATGAAGCTGAGGACTTTCAAGAGTCAGATCATCCAAACTGTGGGTGCACAAAGCTTCCTGTTTCGACCACTTTTAAGATTAAACATCAAGAGTGTTTATTTACGAGCATATATAAGACTTTATTCAGTGTCTGCAGGAACATAATGTTGAACTTACTTTGACAATGTTTACTACTCAGACACACCTAATTCTAACTAATTCTATCAAATCCACTGTGTGTTCAAGCAGGGAAGCATCTAAAATCATCAAAAATCTGACATTTTCGATAAAAACAATAGTCCAATGTAGCATACGGTTTAACGCTACGCTAATCACTTAGCTCCAATACACAAATAATGAATCCCTTTTCGTCCCCTCCCTCCTCTTCCACAGTTCGCTTGAAGTTTACAGTAGGTTCAGTTAGCATTTAAGCTAGGCTAGTGTGCTTTATCTTTATTATTATTGTTTTTCCCGTGTCCTGTCTGGCTGTGAAGCAAACAGAATTAATGTCTGAATGTTGGTGACAAGCCTTGCAGATTTACTCTCAGGTGGAGAGTCAAAGCTTCTGCTTTAATGTCACGCCTGATACTTAAAACTTTATTGTTATTGTTTTTTGGATGCTTTTTAATTCCGACCAGACACGGAGACAGAGGTGAAAGAGAAAGGAAAAGACAAAAGGAAGTAGGGGTTTCCACAAAAGTAAACCTTCAATGATGAACAAGAGTCTGCTTCTAGACCTGCAGAAAGAGATAAACAATACACAACAATACAACAAGAGCAACCTGATGAGGAAATATAAAATCAACATTATTTTTCTGAACAATCATATGATAATAAATCACAGTGCATTAAGTGTCAACCGCAGCCTTAAGACGTGTGTTGAACGTGCCCAAGTCCATACGAGCACCATGCGAGCACCTGTGTGTGTACGCGCGCTTGCATATGTAAGGCTTCTCTATAGGAGCGTACAATAGTGAGTGTGAGGGGCCACAGATCTGCCCCCCAAGGATGTGTAGAAGATGGAGAGAGCTCCAAGTCTCAGAGATCCAGGAGCTGCCCCAGAGCACAGGGACCCCAAGGAGACTGCGACCAGAAAAGCCCCCCCACCCCCACCCCCACCCCCCGAGAGGCGCAGAGGTGTGCTTTATCAAGCAGTTGAAAACTCACCTGTTCAGGCTGGTTTTGATGTGACTTCCTGCTGATTATTCTATCTTCTCTTCATGCTGCTATGTCTACCAGCTCTCCCTTCTCTGCATTACCATTTCATTTTTGTGCTCCTTTCTCATTTTCCAAATTTTTTTTTCTACTTTTCCCTTTTTAGGATATTTTTTAAATCACCTATATCTATCTATCTATCTATCTATCTATCTATCTATCTACACACACACACATATATATATATATATATATATATATATATATATATATATATATATATATATATATGGAGAGAGAGAGAGAGAGAAAGAGAGAGAGAGAGAGAGAGATATGGATATATAGATATTTATATCTATCTATATACATAGATAGATAGATAGATAGATAGATAGATAGATAGATAGATAGATAGATAGATAGATAGATAGATGTAAATCTCTCTCTCTCTACATATATATATATATATATATATATATATAACATTCATGGACATCTTCACTCATGGCGGGAAAGGCTTTTGTTGGTTTAGCCTTCAGAAATTTGCAGACAACAAGTAGCTAACCATTAGCATTAGCAACACCACCACAAAAACTACCCCAGGCTTGTGTTATGTGTGGAGATAAAACATATGCCTTGCAAGTCAGTGGTAGAGTCGCGTTGCTGTTATCCAAGCTAACCCAAGATGTCCAAATATCGGGAAATAAGACTTCAGGTTCTGCCATGTTGTGCCACGTTCTGCTGCAGCGAACTTGTCCGTGCTGATCTAAGTGCTTGTGGGCTTTTTGTGCCCTGAGTACGGCTTGCAAGGCATTCACTCCTACCAGAAACCACTGAAAATGTGTTCACTAAATGTTTTCCACACCTCAAAGACTTATAAAGATACTTTTACTATTAAGATTCTTAATTTTTAAGCAACAGCTCAACTTTCCCATTTTCCACATTTAGCTCAGTTTTCATGCAACCAGGAAGCATTCAAAGGTGTTAACACATATGGAATAATAAACTAGACAGACTTCTGCAAAACACCTGTATATTTTTTGTTTTTATTGCCAAGTTTTCTCTTTTTTTCTTCCTTCTCTTTTATTTATTTCTACTTTTTCCCACCATAAGTCACAAAATTGTTTATCGGATTTTGGTGCTTGCATGTGTGTGTGGGTACCTAAAGATGTGGGGGAAGATGGATGACGCTGTCACTGCACTGTTCAACGCTGTGAAGTTATAGAGAAAATTTTTAAAAGCTGGGAAAGCATCGGGCGAGTAAGAAGCAGAAGAAAAGAAGTAGAAGTTGCATTGAGAAGATGAAACAAACACAAATCCGATGGAAGTGTATCTGGGTTTTTTTCCACCTCGCTGTCTTTTCTAGGGGTTAAAGTGACACGAGACCACAATGTTCAGGTCTCTGTGCACCACGGCTCAATTTCAGACCTCTCACCTACCGTTATCTCTCCTGTTTGTGCTCGTGTTTGCTGTGTATTATGTGAGACATCCTGTAAATGTTCTGTTTCTTTGCACCTGTGTATTTGTAATTAGAAGTAATGCAAAACGTGTTTTTTGGAAAGCCGGAGCGTGCACACATGTCAGAACACTGATTTAGATTATTATAAAGGTGCTAAATCAAATCAGCTACCATGTGGGAGTGTTTGATAATGCAAAGGTGATGGTGTCAGTGCATCAGCTGTTCCCTGCTTGTGTATAGTTTTATCTGGGGTTAGAATGTCTAAAATGTGGGCTGATTAGGGTACTTCAGATATTAATTAACCATTATTTCACCAGGTACGACCCCTGGTTTTAAAATATATTTTGCAAGAGGGCCAACATGGAAAGCTGTGAAGGTTTCAAAATGAAAAAAGCAAACAAATGATCTACGTTCCTCATAAAAACACAGATTAAACCTAAAAAGTACAAAAGTCAGCTAATACAATTACAATCTGACTGCACATCTCTTGCAACCATTAAAAACACGTTTATAGTCTAACAAGCAGTAATAGTGAACCAAACAAGGCAACACATTTTAATTAGCTCTGATATTTAGATTATTTATTGTTTATATATTATTTATACATTTGTTTGACCTAAAATAACAATCTATATTACATAGATACCATAATTTATAAACTATGTAAAACCATAGAAGCTAAAACTTTTGATAACATCCAAACCAGCTGGATGAATATTGTCTCCGTAACCAACCTGAATTAGAACATCGTTGCCTCTGCTGCAGCTTCATGAGAAATGTTCTTCGCTTGATTTAAACTTTCCAACCTCAGAAATAACCTCCAGTAATAACTTCCTGTCATCTAATATCTGTGACATTTACCTGCCTGGTCCATGTTGAGCAAAGTGCATAGTTTCAGGTGCAGACACTCATGGTGAGGCTGCTTGTGTGAAATCCTGAGAAACCAAAAGTTAATTTACTTTAGAACAAAGACATTTTAATCTCTTACTTTGTCCTCTGCTAAAAATCACATCCAAGCCAAGTTGTTTCAAGGTTTGGTTCAGTGTTGCAAAAGTAAACAGTAGATATTTTGAAGAGAGGGTGTCCATATCCTCCAGTTAGAGGCCGTTTAACTCCCTGTGGGTAGTTGGTTTGCTGCCAAGTAAATAGGAATTCACTTCCTGTGGTGTGTGTGTGTGTGTGTGTGTGTGTGTGTGTGTGTGTGTGTGTGTGTGTGTGTGTGTGTGTGTGTGTGTGTGTGTGTGTGTGTGTGTGTGTGTGTGTGTGTGTGTGTGTGTGTGTGTGTGTGTGTGTGTGTGTGTGTGTGTGTGTGTTGAAAGCTTTATGGCTAATGTCATTTGCAACACTGCTTTGTGACACATTTTATTGTGAAGATGAAAAAAGAAAAACAAAACAAATGAGAGAAACATGCACCCTATAGAGTGAGTCAGCATCTGCTGCATAGTTGAATGTGTTTTAACAAATTGCATTGTTTGAAAGAAAACAGGTTACACGTTAGTCATTTGACTTTTAATAATTCCCAGGATGCAACAGTTTAACCTTGGAAAATGAAAATCTTCTGCATAAATCAAGTTATTAGATTTGGAGAAAAGTTATAATTGCTAAAGAGGATTTTTTTGAAACATGCGTAGAAGGAAAATGTCAAAACACGGATTTCTTTCCCTATGATCATGTTCTGCAACACACACACACACACACACACACACACACACACACACACACACACCCCTCTCATGGAAAAAAGGCCGCTGGTATGAATTAGTCCCAGTCCATCCCTGATGGTCACTAAATAAACTTTATAGCCATTGTGTTAGTGGTTAGCGGTTAGCATTTTAGCTTTACTCGCCACCCTGAAATATCCATTTGGTGGTTTTACTGATGAAACTTTGCCGGTTTGAAGAAGTAATCCATCTAAAAACTCACTCCGGTTGGTTTAACAAGCAGTCTGTTTAAACTCTCCTTAAGAGAGATTGGATGGGGATTTTGTCCTTTCACTGGCAAAAATCATTTTTTTGGGTTCTAGGCGTTTTTTAAAGTGCAGACTAGAAAAAAGTAATTATTTCTTCACAACTGTGGAGTTTAAATTCCCTGCTAGCTACATGGAGAGACTGGGTGTTAGTGTTTACAGTCCGGGGGAGGAGGGATCCGGACTAGAGTCCACTTGGATAGAGAGGAGCAGGGCGTGATGATGTAGCAACAACTCATCCAGCTGAATGCGTAAATGAAAGAAGCAGCTGAAACAGAAAAATGTGTGATGCCAAAAATGGCCTTGGGGGAGT